CAATGAAGTGACTAGCAAATAATTGTTGTTACAATGTGATATGGGATGCCAGAACCTGGTAGAACAAACCTAGTAAACCGGCCGACCAAGCCAAGGGAATCGGCTGGTCTAACAGAACAACAGGAATGCCGTCGGTGGTCGAGCGCCACCAACGCGGGACCAAAAGTCTTCAGTTCGAAGACAACACAAGAGGTATAAGAAGGCAATAACAGATCGAGCTAGGACACTTGGATGGCCTACCGAAAACTCGACCTGTAGGAATGACTAGTCATGTGATCGACCAGAAAGAACAACACTTGGTCTCAGAACAGACAACTTTCTACCCCAGCAGACCTCGTGTTGGTCGCAACATTAAGTAGTCTAATAGAAAAGACTAAGGGACATTGAAGAATATTAAGGGGTTAAGAATTGCACGTCGATAGGGCTACGTTGCGTAACAGAATTGGGCAGTTCGGGTTGTACTATCAGTAGCCAATTCGAACAGTCCTACGCAACAAGGCATCATCACCCTATATAAGGGAGTGAGGTATGCACATTATCACATTACTCTCTCTACATAAATTTACATATTGCACTTTATCTTCTACAAGTGCTAAGTTAAGCATTGGAGGCTATTTACTGGAAAACCCCTCCGATGTGAGAGTTCTGCAGGTCTAAAAGCGTTCAACCAACGAGGAGCTCGAGGTCTAATAATTTACAGTCGGTCAGAGGTCTTTGACATACCATTTGGCGCCATCTGCGGGAATTTCGTTCGAAAAGAGAATAAGCATCATAGCCATGGCTAGCGAAATTCTCAGAAAAAATTTAGAGCAGAATTTTGACGATGTGTGGCTGAACGCACGTCCGTATAGATCGGGCCCACTGTCGGGTTTCTTCGGACATTCTCAGAGCTGATGATCCTGATGTCTCATCCTACAGGCTTATGGAGTTCGTCGGTGGTCCCTGTCGCCATTGCAAGTTCAAGTCAGATGCAAGAGGCTCAAGCGACTCAAGAATAATTGTTGGTTAATCGCTGCATTTCGTGTAAAACTTTCTTACCAACAGATTATTCTATTGGTAAAGCTCATATTCTTGTAGTGAACCAAACAAATAAATTAGAAAAAGGCACTCTACTAAGTTTACAACTGGAGACGTGCCGCCACCATAATGCCTTAGATAGATTTACATAGAATAAGATATATATAATTTTAGATCCTTTTTTTTTGTCGAAACAGTAGAGATTAAACACAACCAAAAAAATCGTGCAGGTACAATTGGTAAAACCGAAATAAAAACAAAAACAAAAAAAAAAGAACATGAAGAACACCATGAAGGTGCCCTAGAAACCTAGACCAACCAAGAGCACATAGGGAAAAACTGAACCCTACAACTAACCCAAACACAATACAAGAAGCCAAAGATTAAAAAAAATAATAATTAAATATAAAAAAATAAAAAAAAAATAAAAAAATAGCAATATACCCCAAACTCAATCCAAAACACTGTCATAAAGACCTAGTTGAGATATGAGGTTGAGCAACTTAATAGCACAAGCAGCATTGAACTCTCTCCACTCCATTAAGGCAACAGAGATCACTCGATGCTCCTTCATCCAAGTCTTTTAAAAAAATCATAAATTTTGAGATTTCCATAACCACCACAAGATATAGGTGGTGAGTTGAATCCTAGCTTTTAAAATTTCTGAGCTATTTATGGAGAAGATTTGTCGCCACCATTGTCTGAAGTTATTTATATCAGTGCTTATTCATTTCTAATGCAAAGAGGCTATTTTCTAGACTTTCAAGGCTCTTGGACAATAAAATAAAAGATGCTCAACTGATTCAACAACCTCTCCACACCCTTTACAACAAGAATCAATGGTCATGACTCTCTTTAGAAAATTTGAGTTCACAAAATTTGAATTCACATGCAGGATATTGGTAAAACATTTCCAAATGAAATGTTTTATTTCTTTCTTTGGTTTTCAATTACCAACTCCTAGTCCTAGCTTTGATATCCAAAGAGGCAGAACAACTCCTCTCAAGTATGTCTAATCTCAGTAGCATTTCCTCAATTAAATAGGAATAAGAAGAATAAACACAAAAATTAAGCCTGACTGTGAGCTGGAGAAAGATGTGGTTCAATAAGTCCTCATTCCAATTCAGACTAGATATCTTAATCAATTGATTAACCTAATTGATCTCAGAATTCATCCCAACAAAAAGAGTAGGTCTTCCTTATGAAATCAGAGGCACCCAGTTGAAATTCCTTATCTTTCTTTGTAGCCTATTACCAATTTGAACTCTCAAACCTTGGATAAAAAGGTGTTTCAACTCCATCCAACTGTTCCATAATCAGGATGAGCCATGTGTTTCTGAGCTTCAAAGATATGAGAGTTTGGATAATATGTGCTTGTATTCTTTACCAAGAGATATGGTTGGGTAGTGATTCTTCACAGTTGCTTTAGAATCAATACATGATTGAAAAATTTGATGTCAATGAAACCTACACCTCCCTTTTTTTTTGAAGAGACCGATAATCCCATGCTCTCTAGTGACTTCCCTTGGTATGATAATCTCATTGCTCCACCAGAATCTCGGCCACATAACCCAACAATTTCCTTACATAAGCTCTTAGTAAGAACAAAATAAGACATTGCAAAATCATGTACAACATTCAAAATTGCCTTAATAAGAACCTCTTTACCTGCAGCACAGAGGAACTTGTTCTTCCAACTTGATATTCTATTTCTGACTATCTTGAGGATATACTCAAAAGCTTTCTTGTTTGATCTTCTTATACCAAGGGCAGTCCCAAGTATATTGTAGAGGTATGAATATTGACTCCATGCAAAATGCCACAAATTTCTTCCTGGATTTGAGTTGGTGTGTTTCTGCTAAAGAATGTTGAGGACTTTTCAAGATTTACCCTCTGACCAGTGAAGAAGTTGTGGACCTCCAAAATTTGTAAGATAATAGAGGCTTGCGGCTGCACGCTTTGCTAAGGAGAATTGAGTCATCAAAAACTAAAAAGTGAGAGATAACAAGCCCCTCTTTTGATAATTTAAGCCCTTTACAGAGACCTCTTTCAAAAGAAGAATTGATAAGAGAAGATAGTCCTTCTGTCACAATGATTAATAAATGTGGAGACAAAGGATCACTTTGTCTAAGGCTCGTTGTAGGAGTGATAAACCCATCAACACTACCATTCACATTAAGGAGAAAGAAGTTGAGGTCAAGCCATAATCCATTTAACAAAGTCTTTATGGAATCTCATTTCAACATGATTAAATGAACACTATGCCACTATCAAAAGCTTTGACCATGTCCAATTTTAACGCCATGAAACAATTCTTACTTGATTATTGTCTATTTAAGTAGTGCAACCCCCCATGAGCAACGATAACATTGTCAAGAAGTTGTCTTCCCTTGACAAAAGCTGGTTGGGGTTCATTTGTACAAGCATGCACACAAGAACTGAGTCTTAAGGCAAGAGTTTTAAAAATTATTTTATAGAAAATTGCACATAGACTGGTTAGCCTGAACTGACTAAGATTCACTGTATTTACACACTTAGGCACAAGGGTTACCAGAGTTTGATTTCCGTACTTGAGCAGTTGGCCAAAAGAAGCATGGCAAGGGTCAGACCTGATGATAGACCAAAAGTGTTGGAAAAATAGAGTTTTCATTTCATCTTCAAGGAGGTTTGTTTGGGTTCACATGGAAAATAACTTCCTTGATTGACTCCTCATCCACTGTCACTAAGAGGTCTTCATTCATGTTTTGGGAAATGGTATGAGGAATGTGTAAGAATTTATAATCACATTGTATAAATTCAATAACAATTATTCTAGGATATGCTTTAGTTCTAGGAAAATCAACATCGTGCTAGATTATAGATTATAAGGATTATAAAGAATACCTGGATTCATTGAATAACTGGATTCATTGAGATTGTGTTTCTAAATGCGGAATACCTTATCATCAATCTCCGGATCTCATCTCCATGAATGTTTACATAAACACGATCTGGATCACGAACTCGCCATCGATCACGAACGGGGTCGGTTTTATGGTCTTCCTCAACTAAATCGTCTTATTCCTTATATGAGACTGTTATTCTCAATCTCGATGGGGAGAAGAGAAAACTATATTTGATTTAGTATTTTGAGGACCATAACCAATAAGGTCTTTATATACTACTAAGGTAGGCCACTCATTATTACCGAGGTCGAATATTATAAGACATTCACCCAATCAACCCATATCAATTTACATAGGACGTAACCTATAAACTCTACTTTATTTAGATCACATAACAGAATCCATTAATTAATTGAATAGCTGATATAATTATATATAATATGTTGCTCATAATTAAATTATACACAGAAAATAACAATTTCGTAACAAAGATTGAGAATTTCACGCCTGACGAGCATCCTCTTCAGTGTCACAGACTTAATTGTCATTAGTAATCAACCTGGTTATTGCACCATACTAATCATTAAACTGATTTAGTCATGATTAAGAAATCTAATGTGATTTTGGTACAAACCATTTTTTTTGGTTTACTTTTTTTTTTTCAAGGAACTTAATTAACCAAATCAACCAATCACATAAATATATTCTATTCTTTTATATTTGTATATATATTATAGGGAGATTCTATGATCCCGTTACGGAACCATTCTGTCGGGATTTGTAACCGTTAGATCAACTATCTACGACGGTTACATGATGATCTAACGATTACAAATCCCGACGGAATGGTTCCGTAACGGGACTATAGCATTTCCCTATATTATATATTTTCAGTTTGGGTTAGGGGCCTTAATCTGTATCTATATATATAACAAAGACACAACCAAAATTTCCCACTCTGTTTCTACTCAGTGAAGTCCCCCTCAAAACCCCTGTTTTGGTTTTTTCTCAAAAAAATAAAAAAAAATAAAAAAAATAAATAAATAAATAAATAAATAAAGCACCAAACTCAAAAAACATATCATATCACTAACAAAAATGGCGGTCTCCTTCTCCTCCTCCGTCCCCCACCCATCCTCCGTCTTCGCCGCGTACGCCTCCATCTCCGCCTTCATCGTCCTCGTCCAGACAATGCTGAACCAGCTCCTCCCCCACCAGCTCCGCGCCTACCTCTCCGACACCCTCCGCCACTACCTCCTCCGCCCCCGCCACAACAGCGCCACCCTCGTCGTCGAGGAGCGCGACGGCATCTCCTTCAACGAGCTCTTCTCCTCCGCCGAGACCTACCTCTGCACCAAAAAAATCCGCCCCAACATCGACCGCCTCAAAATCGCCAAACGCCCAAATCACCCATCCCTCACCCTCAGATTCGCCCAATCCGAACTCATCCCCGACCGCTTCCACGACATCGACCTCCACTGGCGCTTCGTTAACGTCGACCACCGCAACAAGTCCAAATCCGCCGTCGACCACCAGAACCACGACGGCGGGATCTTCCCGGAATCCGATAAGAGGTTTTTCGAGCTCTGTTTCGACAAAAGGCACAAGGAAAGAGTCCTCGACTCGTACATCCCATTCGTGATGGCCGCCGCAAAATCAATCGCCGAACAGAACAAGGTGGTGAAG